GGTTAGTACATAGTTGGATCATCTATTTTGGAACGGAAAGAGTAATAAATAGTCAAATTAGACCTGGCCATCCTCCGGGCTGGGCCGGGCCTGACCAAACCTGAGGTAGAAAAATCAGGCCCGAGCCCGGCCCGGCCGTCGGGCCTAGTTTTTAGGCCCAAGTTCAGCCCGACACAGCAAAAAACACATCGGGCCTCGGGCCGGGCCTGACCAAGCCCGAGATAGAAAACTCAGGCCCGAGCCCGGCCCAATCGTCGGGCCTAGTTTTTAGGCCCAAGTTTGGCCCGACATGGGAAAAAAACACCGGGCCTCGGGCCAGGCCTCTTCAGTAAATGGCAGAAACAACGGGCCCAGGCCCGGCCGACCTAGTCTTCGGGCTCAAAACCTAGGCCCAGGCCCGGCCCGAGAGCAGGGTCGGGCCGGGCGGCCCATGGCCAGGGCTAAGTCAAATACACTTGCCCATCCTGGCACATCACACGTGATATGGGCTGTGACAGCCGAGATATGTACAGGTGCACTGCATTTTTCTAAAGCCCAAAGTGACGGAGGCAAACATCGCCCATTGCAGATATAGAAATATATTTCATTCCATCAGTGTGTACAGCGCTCCACCTTCTTTAGTCCCACCTCGCCAAGCGAGAGTGCAATCACCCAGCTTAAATAGCTTCCTTCACAGCACTTACTCGCCGAGCTCAGTTGCGTGAGCTTGTAACCCAAGTGGGGGCATTAAAGTGGTGAGGACGTTGCCGTAGTGTTGCGGGCCTGGTTTGGTTCTGCTATTGCTGGCCCGCTCGTTTCAAGTTGTGTAGTGGACCGCTGGGGCCTATGCGAAAGCTGGGCCTCATTGTTCATAATGTGGTAGGCAAAGCGTGAGGCTGGCTTCACAGAGCAGCGACAACTGCCCGCTTCCAACGGTGGAAGGATAACGGGCTGTTGTACTACTGAGCCGCTTGGGCCTTGCAGCCTACTCCAATGAACCACCATTTTTTATGTTTTTATTAACTATGCTTTTATATTTCAGATCTGATGCACTTTATAAACCCAACTATTCCTCCCACAAATCACTACATCTTTATTTATTATACTTTTTTGCACTGGTGTAACTCCTTTTGGATTCATATGCATTCTTTTATGTCTCAATTTGAGCAAGGATTTAACACAAACTAGTAAAGTTATATGTGCCTTGCGCATAAGATGTGGATTTCATTCTCATTGAAAATTGATTTACAGGTGCTTAATTTAGATGATGACGATGCATATGTTGCAAAAAAAATGTGTGTATTACATCTACAAGACTAATGTACTTTACTGGATTCTACCATAGCCGTGAACCAAACAAAAAACCTAAACTAAAAATAAATGTAATTATTTTCAAAGAAAAAACTTAGGAGAATGTAATTGTAAAAGAGTCTATAATAAATGAGAAGTGTATGTGCTTTGTTCATATTTTGGATTGTAAATAGTAAAATAAAAATAAATGACAATTCTTGAAAAAGAGAAAATGTTTGATGATTAAAGCGAGGAGGACTCCGGAAAAAAGAAGGAGTGTCTAATGTGTGCATGTCATGCCTTGTTCTTAAGTTTATGCGTGGAATCTTCTGGATAGCACTATCTAACGGCCAACAGTGCTCAGATTTGCCAGCTCTCAACCATTGGATTGGTTTCACCCTTTGCCAATAATCATCGTTATTCCTTCACTATCTGGTGGTATATATATACCATGGATTTTTCAAAAAAAAAATTCTTACGGTGAACTTTTTAATAAGATATTTTTTTGGTTCTCATACCATCTTACTTCTGTCCGACGAGCTGATTTGTCTGTCAAAAAAAAAAACCCTGTTGGGTCCAACTCAACGGTGGGAATATGGTGAAAATGAGAGCCACGTCATACGGGGTGGGTGGTGGGAGTGGGACGGAAGTAAAACACCACGATGGCAACAAGTACACACAGCTGCCTGCTGGATTAGTTTAGTTGAGTTTAGCTTATTAATATAATAAGTCCACTGACAGACAGAATTACTTTTGTGTCTGGAAACCAATACTGCCTGAACCGCTGGCCCTGTGTCCCCTCCCATTGGAACAATGGAACATCATCTTTCAAATTTGTACTGTGGTATTATAATGAAGCTTGTATACAAATGTCTAAAACGTCTTAACAAAATGAACGGGAGGGAGTGGTATGGATGCACACAATCCATCCATTAGAAGAAGAAACATTCTTGTCGACTTTTACAGGCCTCATCTGTCTGTCTGTCCAGCAACAACGACACTAGCTAGCTATAGATAGATAGATCCTGGATTCCCGGTCCTGCTCCTGGTCCACCTGAAGCAAGCAAGCAGAATCTTCTCTCCTTGCATCCATCCATTCATTCATTGCTTCCTTCCTTCAGGATGAAAAAAATTAAAGGAAAATCATTGCAACATGAGTGACATGTACTAGTACTACTAGAGCGAGGATCATGCACAATCATGAAACACTCATAAGCTTCAACAGTGCCGGTGCCCAATCACTTGAATGGAAGATGACAATATGATCATCACATCATCATCCTTCATCGCTTACCCCCACTCTACTCGAGCCCTACTCTACTCTGCTGCAGGTAAGGAAAAGTAAATGACAGCAGACGGAGGATTAACATTACAGATGATGATCAGGTACTCTTGACTTGAGAGCCCCATCGGCCATCGCATTGCATTCCATATTAAGTCAGACGGTACATAATTAGGACAAACAAACACGATGGCCCCTACAAGAACGAGGTGATCTATGATCGCAATCTGAAGTTGCTAAGCCATTGATGATACACGATTCAACATGATGTCAACGAATTGCCAATGCGTATAAATAAACAAATTCAAAATCGATGACAAGTGGCACGTCACTTTTTCGTATTGCCCTTTTTGTTAGTCATTTGATTGATTTGCTCCATTTTACAACTTGTTGATCATGTCATTGTCTTGCTTTGCTATCGCTGGCGCGCATGCGCTTATACAAAAAGATGGAGAAGAATCCCTTCATGTCGATGCATTGCTGGATGAAGTTGAATGGACAAAGCAAGTGCGTAAGCATTGCCCATTCCGCCAAGACCGCCGATGCCAAAGCCAATGACGATGGCGTTGATCCAACCGCCAGAGGGCTTGCACCGGCCACCCGCATGGCTCGGTCGACACTTTTCAAACATGTCAGTACGTGTGCACGGACATTTGGTGGTATCCAATAGTTGATCCGGCGCTGGATGCGCCCTTGACTCAATAAAAATTACCTATCCAGGTTTATTAGGCCCTATTATATTTTGGGTCCAACTTTGACCATGTATTTGACTAAAAAAATATAAAGAACATGATACAAAAAGTATATTGTTGGATTTGTATTTGAAAGAGGTTTCTATAACATAATTTTTGAGACATATAGTTTGTAGTTTATTAGTTAAATTCATGGTCAAACTTTATCTCAAAATAAAAGGGGTGTAATGAATCCGGACGGAGGGAGTAGCAGTCAGTCAGTGAGTGAAAGCTTTAGGTGGACACGCCGCAAATCCAGAGGCATGTATGCTACTGGTCGTCAGGGTTTTCATTTTCTTAATTTATTATTGCACAACAAGTGGTCCAGATGCAGTAGTATAGTATAGCTGCCAGCTGGATTAGTTTAGCTTAACAAGTCCACAGACCTTTTTTTTTCTCTAGGAAGAAATTATACTGTCTGAAGTCTGAACTCCTCCTCAAAAACAAAACAAAAAGGAGAGGTAATGCCTGAAACCGCTGGCCCTGTCTAGATTCTTGCACACGACGACCAGGTTTTTAAGAAAATAATATAAAGCTGTAATGTTTTTAATTATCAATGGCATGACATGACATTGGTCTCTACAAATGTATGTATGTCTGGTACACGCTGACTGCAGCATACTTTGTTGTAGAAGAAAGAAAGAAAGAAAGAAAGAAAGAAAGAGGGGTTCAGAGACAGCACTGATGTGTACATTAGGTACTTATATCATACTACTAGTTGAGTTATGTAAATCTCTTATTGCATAGTGGTAACAGTATAAGTGGGTTCATTGGCAAAAACAAAAAGAAAAGAAAAAGAAAAGTTAAGGACAGCAGTCGAGCAGGGAGATGAGGAGGAAGGCAGGCAGGCACAGAATCTGCATGGATGCAACAGGAACAGCGCACAAATAAACAAGAGGGGGGGGATTGTTGGTGTTGCTGCTGGGACAAAAGCCAGGCTCTCCTTGATGTATGTATGGAATGGAAATGGATGCAGGGAGGGGGATGAGCAAGCAAGCAAGCTCCCGTCCCGTCCCCAAGAAGAAACATTCTTGTCCACTTTTGCTTGCTGTACTCTGCAATCTCTCTCTCTCTCTCTCTCTCTCTCTGCATTTCTAGCTAGATAGATCCTGCTGCCTGCTGGTCCTTCCTTTGCTTGCTTGCTGGTGCGTGAAGCATCGATGGCTGACTTCCCTTTCTTTCTTTCTTTCTTTCTTTCCAACTTGGGAAATAACTAACTAACTAACTTATGCCGCAGTGGTGGTGGTACACTGTACCATGGAATGCAACGGATGCTGCAGACATGAAATGTGATCATCCATCACCTCTTGCATCATCCCCTGCCCCACTCTACTACTTCACCCCTACTCTGCTCCCTGCTGCTTCAGGAAAGTAAGAATGAGAGCAACACTAGACAGGATTAACATGACTTGACTTGTTCTTGTCACTTTGCATTGCAGATTAAGTCAGACAGTACATACTTGGAACAAACAAACAGACGGACAGACAGGCATTAACAGCACAGGGGATCAAAGTACTCACTAGCTAGCTAGCAACGAAAGAAGCAACGGTAAGCCAGCAGCAACCAACACACACACAGCTAGGTAGGTAGGCTGCTGATCTAGGACTAGATCATCATATAGCATAGCATAGATGATTATTTGATTTGATTTGATGGATGCCAACAACACCTCTTCATGTTCATCTTGTTCCGACTGGGACCGATCCAAGGAGATGGATCAGGCGTATATTACGCCTGAGGAGAGGGACATGAGGAGGATGGCGGCCCGCTCCTCCTCGCCCAGGCACGACGGCTTCCTCCGCCGCATCCGCATCCTGCGCCGTTGCTTGAGCACCGCGTCCTTGGCGAACCCCACCATGTGGAGCTCCACGGTGTGAGTAGTCGTCTTGGTCTTGATCTTGTTGGTGCTGGCCTTGTTGTCCTCCTCCTCCTCCTCCTTGGTACTAGAAGCCTCCGCCTTGGATAGGATGGCGTCGTCCCTCTTGGGCTTCCTCTTGGCCTCCGGGTCGAGCCCCATGGCCACCCGCCGCCTCTTGCGGTACCGGATCCCGCACGCGTTGCACAGCGACTGCGATCAAATGAAATCAAATCAATTCAAATCAGTTGATCAGATGGATCGGGTCGTAACAAGGATCGACCGGAACAGAGCAGATCGAAGCCGGACAGCGGAAGGGGAAAAGAAAACAACAAGTAAAAAAGAGCGTACCTTTGGTCCGTTGGGTCCGCCGCGCCAGAGCGGCGTCTTGGTGGTGTTGCAGTCGTCGCAGGCCTTGGGGTCACCGGAGGCGGTGCGCTCCTCAGGATCCGCCGCCGCCTCCACCTCAACCATCTTGTGGGACTCCATCTCCGCCGGCGACATCTTGTATGAGGAGGAGGGCTCCGATCGCTTGATTGATCGCGCGGGGAAGGGAAGAGAAGGGAAGGGAAGGGAAGGAGGAAGGCGGGAGGGGGCGAAGATTCGATTCCGCGGGCGGCGGCTCGGGTTTGGTTTGGGTTCGAATGGGGGGAGGGGTTTGGGTTTATCCCTCTGCTCTGCTGCGGCTGTGGGTGAGGGTTTAGCTTAGCTGCGAAAGGAAGGCGTCTGTTTTTTTAGCGGCGGCGGCGGGGCGTGGGAAGTGGGAACCCTAATCGCGACCCCCTACTGCCCGAACTGTGAATTTACCAAGCTGCCCCCCGCTCGGCCCATCCAAAGCCCACCCGATTCAACGCTTTCTGTTGCTGCACGGGTTCGGCCCACCAGAAAAAAAAAACAATCTTTTTCTGTACTGCTCCCGGTGCCGTGCCAATACAAAATCAACACCTTTTCCTTGTAAACAAAAAAAAGGACCAAATCAATCTTTCTTTGTGTGTGTGTGTCTAGAATAATAAAATAAATACCCAAGTGCTACTCCTACATCACTTACTTATACAGTCCCGAATCATCATCATCATCATCAATCAATCAAAAATGTGGGAACAAAACTCGATCCCGGCGAGACATAATAAATAATAAATTTGAGTTTCAGTTTTGAAACGAATCCAATCCGCCATAGGGATGGATCAGCGCAGCTCGGGGTGGCGGAGGGTGTTGGGGAATGAAGACGACTCGTCGTCCTCGCGCATCAGGTTGTCCATGATCATGTCGTGGGACCGCACCGTCCCCGACCGCGCCCCTGCCGGCGAGAACGGGAACGACGCCCTCCGCTCCAACGCCAACGCCTCGCTGGGTGGCCGCTCCAGCGCCATCGCCTCCTGCACCTCCTTCACCACCTCCGCCATGCAGGGGCGCCGCCTCGCGTCCGCGTCGATGCACCGCACCGCCGTCTCCGCCACCTTCCACACCGAGTGCACGTCCCGGTACTTCCCGGAGATGGCCGGGTCCACCACCGCCTCGATGTCACCGCTCTCGTAGTAGAACTTGGCCTGCCCCATTTTTCATTTTGTTTTTGTTGTTGTTTTCAATATGTCAGTAGCAGCACATATATGACACATTTATTCCACTGGATGAATGACTCAAGAAAATGATGACCGACCCATGGGCCGATGTTGCGGAAGTGGTCGCCGAAGGTCATGGCCGAGATGGGCGGCCGCCCCGAGATGAGCTCCAGCAGGATGATCCCGAAGCTGTACACGTCGCTCTTCTCCGTCAGCTGCTGAGAGATGTAGTACCTGCATTTTCCACACAAATGCAACACACATGCATATGTTACTATCTGAAACTGCAGTCTGCAGTTTTGGGTTCGTTCAGTTGGCCTGAGAGCAAAAACGCTGATGAAAAATGAGTACTGACTGTGGATCCAGGTAGCCAAGCGTGCCACGGACGTTGGTGGACGCGTGTGATTCCTCTGCGACCAGCTTCGACAGCCCAAAGTCCGACACCTTGGCCCGCATCTGCTTGTCCAGCAGGATGTTGCTCGTCTTGATGTCCCGGTGGATGATCGACGGCGTGCATCCGCTGTGCAGGTACTCGATCCCTGCATCCAAATTCAGTTTCTTACAAGTTCAGAAATGTACCACTACCTGAACATATTATGCTCGTGTCTGAATTTGTTGAATACTAACCTTTTGCTGAATCCTCTGCAATCTCAAGTCGCTGAATCCAGCTGATGTGCTTGTCACGCCCTGCAAACAAACACATGGTTTGATGCTGTCAGATTTCTTTTTCTAAATCACTTTGTTTATATGCGATCCACTACATGCAGGAGTAGAAGTAAAATTACCATGGAGATGCTCTTTCAGAGTCCCATTCATCATGAACTCGTAGACCAGGATGTTCCTCCCGTCTTCATGGCAGTACCCCAGAAACGCCACCAGGTTCCTGTGGTGTATCCTCGACAGCAAGGATACCTGAATGAACAAATTAACAGCAGCAACACATGTCGAGAATTACTGAGCACGTACCTCATATATCCAAGGCTACAATAGCATTCTGCTGGCAAACAAATTAACACAACCTACCTCGTTCGTGAACTGCTTTTTCCCCTGGTACGAGTCGTTCGTCGGCACCTTCACCGCGATCTCCCTTCCGTCCGGCAGCTTCCCATAGTACACTATCCCGAAACCTCCAGAGCCAATCCTGTTCTCAAAATTCTTGGTCGCCTCTTCGAGGTCGCATAATCTGAAGGGATGGCAGGTCTCGGTGGCGATTTCGCACGACGGCGCGTCTGACTTCTGCAGCTTGTGCGCGGGCGGGGGCGCCTTGGTAAGGTCATCTGAACCAGAATGAATGAAGGTTATAGAAGAGTTGAGAACACTCACACGCACACAGAAGGAAGTACTCCAAGAAAAATACAACAAGATGCGAGGAGGCGACCTTCTGGTGGTGAGTTTTTCTTGTTGGCTTTGCGTGTCAGCACGTAGCAACAGAGGGAAACTGCAAGCAGCAAGGATACTCCAAGCAGCGCAGATATGATGATTATCAGGTGGTGCTTCTCTTGATTCCCTGCCTTCAGGTCCATATTGCCAGCATAGCTGAAAATTTTACAGCGAGGAAAGCTTAAAAATATTAGTACTCGCTGATAGCAAGCTATTTTAAATAACTGTTGCTGAAATAATATGCTCATTAATGTAGTGTATGAAGCAAAGAATACCAACCTGAAAACAATGCCTCTGCTTTTCAGAGCCTTGGGGATATAACCAGACAGCTTGTTATTCTGAAGATAGCTGCATTACATGTAGAATAATAGTCGACAGTCAGTTCTCAAAGGCCTGCTATTCTCTTTGTTATGACCAAATCTTTAGTACTACAACTGACTAGGTGTTAATATAGCAGGCAAACTGCAGTCAATTGGACAGTGATTAAGCAAGGGTTTGATGAAAGACTCACAGCTCAGTGAGCTTGGGCAAGCTGCTCAGATATGAAGGCACGCTGCCAGTAAGCTGGTTGTTCTCAAAGTGACTGCATTTTTATTCAGTGAGAAAAGTAATTAAGTATCCATTCATGAGAAAGACGCAATTAGCGGTAGCAGGAGGTGACAAATCTGAAATGAGGCAGGTGACTCACATGATTGAGAGGTTCGAAGAGGCGGCAAGGTCTGGAATCGGGCCCGTCAGCATGTTATCATCAAGTCGGCTGCAAATAAATTCATGATCGATCAGGACACGGGTAGAAGGAATAGAAGTATTAATTCATGGTTTAATCAGAAGAACATTCTGTGAGCAGAAAGGCAATGATGAAAATTATTACATTTCTGCTAAGAATGATAAAGCCACTAGTTCCGGAGGTATGCTCCCTGTCAAGTTCTTCCCTGAAAGATTTCTGTTCACAACTGAAGGTTGTTAAAGTGCAGATATATGCTAAATATTTAGCACAAGATCAGGAAACAATAGAATGGAGAGTTAAGTGAATGGATTACATACATTGAAACTACCCTAAGTTGTGGTTCTGAGGAGCATCTGACCCAGGACCACGGCGAGGGCCAGCAGGGATCGCCGCCCTCGTTGGCCCAATCACCGAAGGATGAGTACCGCGACGCGAGGCTCGCCATGGCAAGTGCGTCCGGGGACCCGGGCTCGATCGCAACATACTTGTAGATCTCGAATGCGTTGAGAATTGGTCCCCTGGATGAGTCGTTGGTCTTTCTGAACGCGAATGACAACACGAAGGGGAGTGACACGTTGTAGTAGCCTGGCTGGTAGAGCCGTAACTTCCCAGGAGCATTCTCACCGACATCAACGGTGGCCTTGCTAACATCGGGCAGGCCAGGGATGAAGAGCTTGAACTTGCGCGTCTCGGGGACGACGGACTCCTCGATCTCGGCAAAGTAGGAGAAGGCCCAGCCATCGCCCGGGAAGCCGTTGAGGTTGAGCCGGTAGGTGAGCTCTCCGAGGGTGCCTACAACAGCGGTCTGCATCACCTTCTCCGGCGGCCTCTCGCTCGTGGCGACGAACACCGGCTTGTCGGTGGACACGTTGACGGTGCCGGGTGCCGCGTCGACCAGGTAGTTGGCCCGCCGTACCATGTCCGACTCCCATATCCGGTCGTATGGATCATCAGGATACCTGCATTCATTGAATTAACCATGATCAACAAATCAGTAGTTTTTAAGAAGAACTGGACTTAATTATGATCAAAACAACAGGAGCTAGAAGAAAGAAAATCTATTCTTTGAAACAGAAAAGAAGAAGAAAGAGATTTTGTTGTATATGAATCGGTTCATGGAGTTGATTTTGGTAATGAAAACCCTGATATTGCCCTGCCTTGACGTTTCTTTTATGGGTGAACTTCAACTCACTGTTTGGTTATGAACCCAAGTAAGCCCAACATCCTCATGTTGGTACAACCGTTTTGGAAAAGCTCTGATGCGGTCTCCGGTACGGAGAACGGTTTAACCTTTCTCCGAGGAAGAGATCAGAAATGCTATCTTGTGGAGCAAAATTAGTTCTTCTTCTTCAGATTATCCCCTTTTCAAATTCCTTGTTACTTGCTCTCTGTAATGAAATTCCCTTCTTTGGCAATTCATGCCATTTAACACACAGATGCCTCGTATTTCTGTGTGGCGGGGATGTTGATGATAACATGTAAGAAAAAGGTTTTGGTGGCCTGGGCATTCCAAATCCAAATCCAAATCCAAATCTTAAGGAGGACAGATTTGCCACCAGAATCCTCCTTAAGAGTAGAGGATATTAATTAGAGTTTGCTGGAGTTGACAAATTTGGGTTTCAATTGGTTGACCACAATTTACTTGTGTAAAAGAAAAAGAAAAATCAGCATTTGGCATGTAGGCATACTCTACGAATCCAGTGATTGGTAAAGATGATTACATTTTCAAATCAAGAGAAGAAGAAGAAGAAGAAGAAGAAGAAGAAAGAAGCGGCGGCAGAGTAGTAGAGTACCTGACCGGATCTGGCGAGGGGGCGCCGAAGTTGATGCGGGCGGCGAGGGCGAGGAAGGCGCGGGCCTCGGCGTCGGTGCGGTACAGCGACCCGTTGAGCGGCCGGAGCTCTAGGGTGGATATAAACGGCCGCCCCGTGGTGGCGTTGGAGAGGCAGACGGAGATGCTTGCAGACTGGGCCAAGACGACGGCTTCCCTTGTGACGAGGCGTGCGCCGTCGTAGACGACGATGGGGGACCAGCGGGTGGCGCCGAGGTAGAGGTCGAACTCCGGGAAGGCGTCGTCGCCGTCGAAGCCAGCGTAGAGGAAGGTGGCCCGCAGCAGGTAGCGCGCGCGGGTGGCGACGGGGAGCGCGTAGCAGTGCTTGGCGCCGTCGGACGGGAAGGCGCGCAGGGTGGTGTACTGCGTCTCCTGTTCTTGTTCTTGGGTGGAGGTGGAGGTGGAGGTGTTGAGGGTTGAGATGGGTGTGCCAGTGGCGATGAGGGCGGCGTCGGAGGTCCAGCGCAGGCCCCGGGCGTCCGTGTAGTTGGCGCCGCCGCCGCAGTCGATGCTGAGGAAGCCTGCAGCAGCAAATTAAAATTAATATTAATATTAATAGGAGGGGCAGCAGCTTGAGTTAGTCAGCTACTACTACTAGTTTGAATTAGTTAACCTCATGATGAAATTAAGAAGAAATACTAGTTGTGGTGATGGATCTACTCCTAGTCCTTCACATCCACTGAATTAGTATCTTCTTATTCCTAGTCCCAGTGAAGAAGAAGAAGAAGAAGAAGAAGAAGAAGAAGATACTAACCAGGCATCTGAGCTCGTGAGACGGCGGGGAAGGAGGAGCACAAGAAGAAGAAGAAGATGATGTGCAGCAGAGCAAGATGAAGAAGAGGAAGCCGCCGGTGCAGGTAGCAAGATGAAGAAGAGCAAGAGGAGCGGTGTTGCGTTGGAGGAGTCTCCGCGGCCATTGTGGAAGGAAGCTGGCCGGCTGCTCTGCTCTGCTCTGCTCTGCTCATGGTGGATCTTGCTAGTAGTATACTTACTTGGTTGCTAAGTAAGCATGTACCTATTCTATGGTGGATCGGCAGCCTGCCCGGAGATGATGATGGCCTCCTCTTCCAATCAATCTATCTATCTGGGTGACTCACTGATCGATTGATTGATTGATTGATTATGGCACTCCACTCCACTCCACTCCACTCGAGTAGTAGCTAGTAAAACAGACAGACAGACAGACAGACAGAGGAGATGAGGAAAGTGAAGGGAGGGAGGAAAGCTCAAAGCAGAGCAGAGCTGTGTGAAGAGGGAGGGGGGAGTTAAGCAAAGCTAAGCTAAGCAACAAAGCAAAGTAGTAAAGCACACCACCACCACTCACTCACTGAATGAACCTAAGCTAAGCTAAGCTAAGCAGTGTGAAGAGAGCAAGAGGAGAGAAGAGATGTGCAACACTCACTCTGTCTGTAAACTTGTCATGGAACTGCCTTTTTCCTTAACGTCCTTCCTTCCTTTTGTTTTGTTGCACTCTCTTAGCCAACAATAGCATTTCTAGCACAATTTCATATTGTTCTGTTCCCACTCTACAAATTATTTTTTAGGGAAATCATTTTTCCACATCTTGTGAACCCTCTAAAACTTACTTCCCTAAAGAAGATGCTTGGGTCCATGTGTGTACATATCCATCACATTAACATGAGATGTGCCAAGCAAGCAAGGAAAGAGTAAGCAAGCTTTTCAGGCGTCAACACTAGGGAGCATCCATCCATGTCCATGAGATATGATGAGATTAAAGACCCAGCTGCATGCATGCATCATGAAAAGATCATTAAGCTTTTCTTCATGCTCCATCACAGAGATGAGATGAGATGAGATTAAACAAGATCACTCCAGCTCCAGCTGAGGGACCCATGATCAACCATCATGCCAGGCCTGCCAACAAGCCAGATTATTGTCAGTCGGTCAAATTAAGCCAACCCATCAGTCAACTTTTCATGCATTCTTCTTCCTTTCCTTTTCCTTTCCCTTTCCAACGGGTCCCTTGGAAAATAACCATGCATGCATACTACTCTACACTAGTAAGTAAAGCAGAGAGAATGAAGGAACATGTTATTAAGAATATATATAAATTCCCGCAAAAAAAAGAATATATATAAACAATGCATGCAAAGTTGGCAGGCATCTTTTTTACTGCTCTGCTACTACTCTGCCTTTTTCTTTATCAGCCAGGCCCATGCCCATGCCCATGCAAGTCACTGCATCCAGCAACCATTACTGCTGCTCTGTAACTAACTGCACTCTCTCTTAGCCACTAAGCTGCAGAAAAATGCCATCTTTCCACACTTGAGCTGGAGCATCCATCCATCCATCCATGATATGAAATCAAATCAGATTAGGCTCCAGCTGCATGCATCATGAAAAGAAAGATGAATCAAATCTCTTTTCTCCATCTCCATCAGATGAGATCAGACTGAGCTCCAGCTCCAGCTGCAGTCACTGCCAGCCAGTCAGGTGATTGTCACTCAAATTAAGCTGGTCTGAAACTGACTGAAGCATCTGTCTTCCTCCCTTTCTTTTTCTCTCTTCCTTTCACATTACCTTTACTTTTCCAAAGGAAATAAAAATACAATACAATACATACATACATACATACATGCTAAAGCAGACAGATAGATGGATAGATGGATGAGCATGTTCAGTTTAAAAGAATATAAACAAGCAAAGAATGCATGCATGCATATCAAAAGTTGGCATCTGCTGCTTGCCTTTGCTGCTTTATCAGCCCATGCAAGTCACTGCATATGCATCCCACGGCAGCACAAGGCTTGACAAATCTACCAAGCCTGCCTAAAGCATGCCTGCCTGCCTCATGGGTATCACACTATCAGTTACCAGTTAGTAATTACTAGCCATGCCAAATAAGATACTCCAGCTCATCATATCATATAGTAAAAGCTATTACTCCTCTGCTGCTACAAACATAACCACAACACCAACAATAACAACTAGTGACCCCCAACCAATAGCACTCTCATTCACCACACAACTCAACCAGACACACAACACAAGACAGACAGACTTTCAGGTAGGGTACCAACAAAGTCACCAGGTTTTTACACCAATCCTCACATGCATCCAATCCTCACATGCAACCATGCCATAGTCTTTTTACATCTTATACTACTACTTAATAACAAACACCTCTCAGCATCAGCATCCAGGGAGCTCCAAAAAGACACCACAAAGCCACAATGCTTACTCCTCCTTTTAACACAACCACAAAGCTACCACCACCTAAATAACAAACACCTCCTCCTCTCCTCCTTCACCTGAAACCAACAACACAGCAACACAGCATCAGCACATGCAGCTCAATGCAACAAACACAGGCAATAAATAAATCATCATATCCAATTACCTCTCTCCTCCACCTCCAGCAGCCCTGTTCACCCCTGCTTCGGCCCGTCGTCGCCCCGGAACGCGGCCGCAGCGGACGGGAAGTCGGTGAGCCGGAAGCTGTCGAGGCTGGGCCTGAGGGCCGCCATCTTGCCCGCGCCGCCGAACGCCGCCTCCGCGTCCGCGCGCCGCCTGAACACCACCTGGGCCGAGCTGGAGTGCTGGTCCGTCTCCGTCTTCGCCTCGCTCACGGGCCCGTACTGGCTGAAGATCTCGATGAGGTCGCCACGCGAGGGCACCGCGCCTGGCTTGCTGAAGTGCAGCACCAGCCCCATCAGCGACGCGTCCTCCTCGGCCGCGCTTGCCTGGCCGCCACCCCCGTTCGCCTTCCCATTCTCTGCCTCTGCCTTGTCTTGCTGGCTCTCATCTTGCTTCATCTCGTCGTCACGCCGCTGCTTCTTGCTTGATCTCATCTTGCCCTTGTCCTTCTTCTTTGCCAGACTAGACAGCGGTTCCTCCACGTCTATGAGAATGTCAGACCAGTAATCGTCCTTCATATTATCAGCCACCACCGGCGGCTCTGATGGAGCAGGGGAGCTCTTTGCTGCCTTCTCAGACATCTCTGCTTCAGCATGAGGACTAGACACTTTGTCTGCTGGCTTCTCAGCTATCTCCTCGTCGACAGGGGGGCAAGAAACTTTCTCTGTTGCCTTCTCAGGTGTCTCCACGTCGGCAGGGGGACTAGAAGCTTCATCTGCTGCCTTCTCAGGTATCGCCTCCTCAGCATGGGGACTATAAACTTTCTCTGCCGTCTTCTCAGGTATCACCTCATCAGCATGCGGACTAGAAACTTCCTCTTTTACCTTCTCAAGTGTCTCCTCGCCGGCAGGGGCATTAGAAACTTTCTCTGCTGCTGCCGTCTCAGGTGTCTCCTCGTCGGCAGGAGCACTAGAAACTTTCTCTGCTGCTGCCGTCTCAAGTGTCTCCTCGTCGGCAGGGGCACTAGAAACTTTCTCTGTTGCTGCCGTCTCAAGTGTCTGCTCGTCAGCAAGGGGACTAGAAACTTCCTCTTTTACCTTCAAAAGTGTCTCCTCGTCGGCAGGGGCAAGTGAAACTTCATCTGCTGCCACCTCAGGTATCGCCTCA